CCAGATTTGTCTTTGTTGTGGCTCTTGATTTGATTGAACTTGAATTTTTATCTTATCTTCAGTTTGAGTTCTTCAATTAACTTTTGAATTTCTTGAGATTTCTTCGATTAAGTGCTTGAAATTTAAGTAGGGTACCGCATATGATAGTTGTACCCTTCTTTTTTCTCGACTGTGTGGATCTGATATAAAATTCTTAGTTACCCAATGGTAACGCGTGTCAATAAATACAATCATGTTATGTGGGTTCAAACTTGTCGATAAAGGTTCTTTTTAAACATTCAAAAGCAAATCATTCAAAGCTGTTATTACCACCCACAAAGTGTTTCCGTACACCATTTTTTTTATTTTCTATGGTCAGGGTCTCAAATCACGGTGTTTGGGTCCCTTAGTTATGGTAGCTAATTCTACAATTTCAATAACGACCCGATCATTTTGGACTTTCATTTTCCATCTTTGTAGAGCTATCAAATGTAAAGAGTATACTCATCTCGTATTTTTTTCAAACTTAACAAAACAGAAAAAAAAAATTGTTTTTATTAAATTTGAATGCAAACTTGTAGAAAATAAAAGACAATATATATATATATATATATATATATATATATATATATATATATATATATATAATGCAGAAAGAAAAAATTAGTACAAAAAGATGAAATCCCCTCCCCAAGCTTAAAATAAAGCATTATCCTCAATGCTTGGGAATGAGATGGAAAGATCTACTGAGGCGGAGGAGGGAGTCGACGGAGCAGCTCCTGCCGGAATGAGTTGAAAGAAGATAACGAGGATCATGCCAGTAATATCCTATCAAATCTTGGTGTTCATGTGGCTCATGTCGGTGCGGATGTCAGTGATATCCTAAAGGATGCTAGAAATATCCTCGTGCATGCCAGTAACATCCTGTCAAATCTTGAGATATTCCTGGTAAGTGATGGGAGATGTAGAGTCAAAATGAGGTGGTGGGGTTAGTGGGTGGGTGGGTCAGGGGGGATCCTGAAAATCGAACTAAAAGTCAACCTGAAAGACAGCTTGCATAGGGTGACTAAAAGCGTGAAGAGGATCATCCTGCTAATAGTCGGGATGAATAGTCAATGACGAGGGGGATTCAGGATTCCATACTACCTTCCACACCGATCCATGCTCTCCTCAGCAATCCTTACGGATCCTCTAAGCCACCTACCCCATTGATGCACCGAATATCCGCTAAACAACAACACAATATCCACCAAGCACCTCCTAGGCTTCCCCCTAGGCTCCCAACCTCACCGAACTGACCCACAAACTCACTGGAGCATATCCTAAGCTTTCCTAGGTTCCTAACCTCTCATTGCCATCAGCTGCTGAGTAACTCCCCATGATGCCAGCCATCCACCTCCTAGATATCGTCATATCCACTTAGTGGTTGACTCCCATCACTCAAGAGTTCCACAAAGTACAAAGCAAGAAGCATTCGTGCAGTACCACTCCTATCCAAAGAACTATCATAGAACCTTACACCCACATGTCGCGACTCGTGCTATCCACATCCATCCATCGTCACTGTCGGCTGCCTTATGCATGCAAATTATACACAGAACAGGATCTAATAGATTTTCGAATAATCGACCCTACCCTAGGACCACAACCAAACAAGGAACATGAAATAAGGCCAAATCAATTATTCTAGGGCTATAATATCCTAACCATATACAATTCTAAAAGCATACACATATTAGTTACAAATACCAATTATCATTCTCATTCCAACAATGCATATAATATTCTCGCGACTACAAGCATCATATATCAAGCCAACCTATTGCTGACTACTCAGCACTAGCATGCAATCTACCACCTCATACAACATACACAGACATCTCCCCTAGTCCTAAGTAGCATGTGATTCACAGATTCATAAGCAAATCATAACAGACAACATATGTGGGTATTCTAGGAAGCTTACTTGAGCTCGGATGATTGCATGCACCACACCCTTTCTTGTCTTATAAATTCTTTACTTAAAACATTTTTCTTTTGAAAACTTTACAGATCCTCAGTTTGAGTTCAGGCACACCCGAAAGTACGTCTGAATCCCTCAAACCAAGGCTCTGATACCAACTTGTAACGACCTAAAAATCAAGGGTAAAAATTTCGTTTTTAATATAACTAAAACATTAATACCATTTAATTCAAACATTTCAAATCATAGTCAAGTAAATCATTTATCAGTTTTTATCCCAAAATCATTCATTGTTGAAATCGTAGGTGTGTACGTTGCGATCAATCCAAACCCTTCCTTTCCAAAATGATGATACCTGAAACCGTAAACAAAACCTATAAGCACGAAGCTTAGTGAGTTTCCCAGAGCATACCATACACACAATCTGCATATCACATATCTTGTTAGCTATGAAAGCTACTTGTATCACATTTCCTGCTAGCTATAGAAGCTATATATAACACATAAATCAGGCATACAAAAACCTGTAAGGATGTTGTGCGCTCCCCCAGGGTCTTACACCATTGTGCCATGGGCTACCCCACATGGTGTTTACCTAGGAATGTCATGGGCTACCCCACATGGTTTTACATCCAATGCCACGAGCTACCCCACGTGATCTTTACCTAGGAATGCCATGGGCTACCCCACATGGTCTGACATCTAATGACATAGGCTACCCCACATGGTCTTACACCATTGTGTCATGGGCTACCCCACATGGTCTTTATCATTCTTATGGTTAGATCTCTTGATTTTGGAAGGTTAGGGTTTATGCCACCTTTATTTGGGGTTTTGAGCTTATAGATTTATCTTGAGGTTTAGACCTCATATCTGGACCGTGTGAGGTCCTTAGAGTCCTATGGTCCCAACTTTATTCACCCATGTGAAGGATATTATGCTTAACACATTATGAGAGCATGTTTTGGTATGTTGGAGCAAAACTACCATGCATGAACATAAAGATTGAAGCTTTACGTGACAATGGAGTTTCGAGATGTTAGATCTATTGTTTGGAGTAGTAGAGTTGCTTTGAATCGTCTGAATGAGAAATCAGATTGAAGGGACTCACCGAGTCTATGAGCTGACTTGACGAGTCGGCTGGGGTTTTTCCCCGATGGGTCTGGATATGGGTGACTCGGCGAGTTGGTGAGACAACTCGACGAGTCAAGGTGGATTTTTGCGATATGACAGAAGAAACAAAGGGACTCGACAAGTCACATAGATGCACTCAGCGAGACGGGTCAAACATGGACTGTTGACTTGAGTTTGACTTCTGTTGACTTTAGGGTTTGGTCATACATACGTAATGGAGACCATGGAGGGGTAAAATGGTCTTTTACCCAATCCAAGAGTAAGAAAGAGAAAGAAAGGGAAACTTTTTGGTATTGAGTATGAATAAAGTACTAATTAGAGATATTTATCCTATATGATAGGCAGAGGCTAGTTCGAGATTTCCGTGTGTGAGATTATTACTTGTTAGCTTTCGAGGTGAGTCTTCCCACTATACTTTCCATGTGTGGTATCTTTGTGTGAACGAGATGTCTTATTTTCTTATCTATATATCATGATATTCTGGATTACGTCTTTGTGATTTATGCTGAGTATTGTTATTATGAGCTTCCTGAGTTAGGACCGGAGGGTCCACCCGAGTTATGGGACCGGAGGGTCCCACTGAGGCACATTGACCGGAGGGTCTTATCTGAGTATACCCATGAGAGGCTACTGAGATGTGTGTGGTATTTTGGGGAACTCACTAAGCTTCATGCTTACCGTGTTATGTGTATTCTTTTTTAGTTACTTTTCATGATATCGGGAAGACGCTGACTCGATTATACACACGAGAGAAAGATTTATGTTTGGAGGATCTTGGATTTATGATAAACAATCTTAAATAAAAATATGTTGGAAATTTTTTACTAGTGATTTTAAGGAAAAGTGACATATGTTTATTGTGTTTTGAAATGAAAAATTGGATTTAAAATTTACGGTGTTACATTATTATTATTATACCTTAAACGTCTAGCCTGAATTTACAGGTGTTACAATGGAGACGACTTTGCTATAACAGGTAACACACCCTACACATGGGAATAAGATATTATGTATTAAAACTATATCCTATATAATGTATGAAATCATATTCTAAGTAATACTTTTTTTTCAGTAGTATGAATTCATATTCTAACTTTCTAAGTAATACCTTTTGTCAGTACGCCAAAAATGAAAAATAGAGTTGGTTTCTAAACCCAAATCATCCCATGGATAAGTTGGAAACCAAGTCCATGAGTTGGTATTCTCAGCTTCCATAATGGAATAAGTCAATAGATATGTTCCATTAATACCACTAATTCCCTACTAAAAATAGTCCACACTTAAACTAAAATACAACAATAAAAAAGAAACACAAATGTATTTCATATGAAAAAAGTTACAACAACTATAAGTATTTTTGTTGGGTATGGATCCTTCTTACAACCACCCTCAAGCCTAATAAAGTTCCTTTTTCCAGTAGCAAATCCCCTTTTTAAAGGACCAAGGCAGATGTATGCGCTTGAAAGTTCTTGTTTCTATATTTGGATTTGGCTTGCTATCTACATCAAGCTTCACATTCGTTTTTGGGTTACATTTTTAAAGCTCCATAATATAATCTCTCAATAAAGCATATTTACCTACAAAATCCCTTCACATTTGATTGAGAGCTTCATTTCTAGACCTAAATGCTTTCATATTTGAAATTCTCAACTAGTAATGATGTAGTATTTGTTCTTGTAAAGCATGAATTTGTATAGTAGGGTTAGATTCCACCTAAGTTGCAACCTATTTAGGTAGAAATTTATAAATACAAGATTTAACATTCCGACTTTGGAGACAATAATGCTATTTGTTATAAGATTTGACCATCCAATTTATATCATGTTTCCATTTACTAGAATAGAGGACCTACAGACACTTCTTTGCATCTTTGTTGTTGACCATCCCCACCATTGTGTAAGTTTCCCGGTTTTGGTATTGTCCCTTACATAAAATCTGACCCAATTCTTGTCATTTTTGTCAAATTCAGGTTCCCTCCTTGTCTCGATAGCATAAATTTAACTCTATATTTAAACTTCTTGGCTATACTAAAGGCTTGAAGGATATAAAATGGCTCATCTACATTTGCTTCATCATTCTCGTGAGCTCTCTGAATAGCTTTGGTGGTCTTCTTATGTTGACCAACCATGCCTTCATACAAAGAGGATTCTGACAAGAGAACCTCAATGTCTAGAACTTCATTAAACTCCCTTACTTCATTCTTGTCTTGTGCCACATTCTTATTCATACCTCCAACCCACTATGCATCCATATCAATGTTAACATTGAAATTATTCATTTCAAACTTGACATCGTCTAAGATTTTTTTATTGCCAAGAAAAAATTCATTGTCATTGAACTTCATGGATTCATAACCACTATCACCCCCAACTTCAACTCCATTTATGTTCTCAAACTTGTCCCATTTTCAAATTCAACACATGTACTACCATCCTTACTATCATCAACATTTATGTCTCCAATGTTGGTTTCCTAAATGTTATTGTCCTCATAATCATTACCATTCATGTCCACATTATTATTTCCAGTTATGTCTCCTTTTATCATGTGTAGTAGTTAAGACTTGTACATTAGTAGCACTAACAACAACATTTTTGTCCCCGGTATCATACCAATCTAAGAAAAGCCTACGAGAACATGTTTGTGGTTCAATAATTTTCTCTAATAGAATTTTTATTGATTTGGGGACATTGTGCATGTATGTAATTTTGTTTTACAATGCTCAATATAAACTTAAATCAATTTATGCTTGGAAATGAAGGTTCCCAAATAAAAAATATCTTGATCACTACCCGAAGCAAATAACCCAAAATCTAAATATGAAAAAGGTAGTCTAAAGTTATTGTACAAAGGTATATCTTCATCGACATAGCCTAGTTGTTCCATCATTTTATCAATGTCGTGCACTGAGAAAGTACCGATGTCGAGTAAGTCCACATAACATTGTTTTCCTTTAATGTACTTTCTTCAGGGAAATTTGGTGAACTCTCCACCATGGTATAATCGAATGGAAAAGATTGTTGGATGTTTCCCTGTGAAATATGTCACACCCTCAAACTGGATGGCGGAAACATCTGAGGGCTCGTGTGACTATCAATTGAATTATCATCACAATAAATATACATGAATCATAACACGATCATTGCCAAACATTGCATATTACAACCAACATTGTTCACATCAAGGACATTGTATAATATTACATATTCAGATCATAAGAAGTGTGAGAGTTAACATTTAACAAATATAAGAATCCCAAACACACTTGATGATTCTTCGGCTTAACAGTTACCTGAGAATACAAGTTATTTTGAAAACGGTCAACATATATAATGTTGGTGAGTTCATAAACAAGTTTGATTAAAAAGCATTGTATCGATGGTATAACCCATAAAATCCGATATTTTCTGTAAAATTTGTTTACAACATGATGTGATGATCCTATATATATATATATATATATATATATATATATATATATATATATATATATATATATATATATATATATATATATATGTGTGTGTGTGTGTGTGTGTGTGTGTGTGCGTGATTTCAAAACATGTGTAAATGAATGAATACCAAAAGTTTTCCTTGTTTTGTATTTGATGTAGGTAAAAGAAAGTGAATGATGGTATTTACCGGAAAATCAGATATTTTCCTATCAATAATAGTATTTTAATATTTGCATGATCGTATGAATTGTTTTGTATTGCCACGATGTATGAATTTGATTTCCCCTGAAAAGTATAGATGGTAATGGATCTATATGTGAGTCGTTATAACCATGCATGATAAAAGATTAATTTGTCTGTCTTGGCATTTTTCCAAACACCGGTTTTGATCAAGATTTTGTCACCCTAGACTGGCCGAGTCTAACTGTAGCAAACAGATCAGATGTAGGGGAGTCACCCCCTTATAGATCTATACACAAACTCTCGCTCTCCCTTCAGGAGACTTTGATTATAACTACAGGCTATGGTCAAACACTCAATGGTGTCGACCGATAATTCTCACTAGACCCCAATGATTTTCCACATGAATATGTTTAATGTTAAACGTAGTTTGATTTACTAACACCTGATTATACTTGAATGTGAAAAATACAGCCCAACAAACATGAATAAGGATAGATGCGGCCCATTAAACACGTAAGTTATTTCTAGGCTTGAAGCACATTAAGCATACAATGAATATCTCCGGGCAAAATTAACATGAGAATGGGCCACTAAGGCCCATTAACATGTAAAAATTAATTTAGACCCAATTGAGCATGTCATTGGGTCACTAAGGCCCAGTAGACATGAACTGATTATATTGGGCCCAATAAACATGCAAATGGATCACGAATACCCAATAAGCATGTATTACAAGTACCAGGCCCAATATTTGTACCACTGTTCTATTTTTGTATATTTGATGTGGTATAGTGTTTTTATATGAAGCATTTACTTATGATATTAAGATATTCAATGTTTGATCTATAACGATATTATTAGTTTATAAAATATACAATTTTTAAATCTTTATAAAAAATTATATCCTTGGCCCAATGGTTTAAAAATTGACACATTTGACTCAAAATATTTATTTGACCATTTCAGCCCTTGGTTTGTAAGAATTTACCTTTTCGGCCCTTATTTGTAAAAAATATTCACTTTTGGCACAATTCCCGTGAATTTTACATTTTTGACCCAAAATCCAAAAACTTTGTGTTTTTAGCCCCAATTTAGAAATAAATACTATTTTCAACCCTGAATTTTATTTATTTACATTTATGGCTCAAGCTTTGAGTAAATAACATTTTTGTCCTAAAAATCTTTATTTTTGGCAAGTTTGGGCCCAAACCGTGGGGCCCAAAAACATTAAGCCCATTAGGCTAAAACTTACACCTTTGGTCATTTAAAAAGTGTGATTATCACAAAAAAAATAGTTTTAAACAAATGCACTCTTTTTGATCCTTATAAAACTGAAAATGTCACTTTTTGCCCTTAACTTTTGTTTTCTTGACAAATATGACCCTTAACAAGATTTTTTTCTTTGAATTTTCATATCTTAAACATGTAAATACTTTTAACTTGATAATATGATGTATAAGGTGTCATAGTTCATGGATTTTCACTCATTGTTGCTTAAGATGTCGAGATATATTAAGACCTAACACAATTTTACAAGATAAACCAAGAAATCACACATATTAAGCATATAACACAAAGATCTACACATTTTACTTGTATTCTCCCCCAAAAATCATGTAAAAACCGAAAACAAGGGGTATGAACTCACCTTGTGGTGATGGATTGGTTTTGATGAAGGGATATGAGACATTGATGTTGTTTTCGGCCTTAGTGAGCTTTTCCTTGTGTGGTTTTCGAGTTTAAAAGGTTTCAAAGAGTATAATCACAAGCAAGTATTTAGAAGGAGTGTTCTAACAGAAAAATGAAATTGTTTAGCTTGGATGTGTGATGACTTACCCAATATTGATGACCTTTGGTGAAGATCTTCATGAAACACATGGAAATCTCGAAAATTTGGATGGAAGGAAGGAGGATGTTCTTGGGTGTTATTAGAAAGGGTTTGATTTTGTGTGTGTGGTTTGCCTCTCGGACGAGGGTAATAAAGAGAGAGGAGAAAGGATGTTTCCTAAATATTTGGTGAGTATTAGTCTCCTAGGAACATGATGGGTTTGTGCATAGATACCCCCATGCACTAATGAGGTGTCAAGAGCTCAAAAATCCTTCCCTTTTCTCTTTTTTTATTGTATAAATACTTTATGTGCTGAGAATGGGCTAGGAGGAAAGAGGATGAAGAAATTTGGGCCTTCACTTGGCTTGTTCGAATTTATGAAGCCCAACAATAAAGTTTTTGGCCCATTTTGCCCTTAGGAAGGTTTATGGCCCAATATGGTATAAAGGAATGGGTTATGCCCCATTAGGGCTAATTACTTCATTTATGGCCCAATAAGGTTAGAATGAATTATTCTAGGTCCAAATGGTCCAAAATGTTAAGTTTATTGAAAGTGGGTCCAATTAGAGCCCATTTAAGGGTCCTAATCCCAAGATAGTCAAATTGGAAGTTTATTGGTCCATTAGGCCCAATAAGAAAATCCTAGTCCATAATGGACTTATACCGAGATTCTTAGGGTTTTCAATGCTTAGTTGACTATTTTAAATGTTTTGTATAAAGTTTTGGGCTCTACAATTGGATTTGATGGAACATCATACACATTTTCAAGTTATGGTTACAATTGTTGTCATTGTTAATGTTT